ATACCAGGGCGCTGTTGCAATGGGTACAGGACAGAGAACTTGCAGACCCCTTTAGGTCGCTGAACCCCGATATTCCGGCATACACCTGGTATTCCAATATTCGGCGGGAGGGGGACCGAAGGGAGGTGACAAGGTGCAAGTTTGACTACTGTTTGGTGGGCAAGGCTCTTGTTCAGGCGGTGACACACGTCCGCCAAATCTTGCATCCTCTGTCAGACCATAAGCCAGTGGTGATAAAACTGGTGTTGTTAGGAGCGGTAGGAAGAGGAAGGAGCTACTTTAAATTGAACGCACAAAATTTGGAAGACCCGGGGGTGAAGGAGTGGGTGCGTAACCAGTGGGAGAGGTGGCAACACGCCAGACCGCACTTCTCCTCCATAGCAGAATGGCTTGACGGGGGCCTGGCGGTGGTCTCAGGTGTCCTAGACGTCTGTTCTAGAATTATAGCAAGGGACCGTAATAAGGAGGAAGACGTGTGCAGAAAAAGGGTAGAGGAGGCGGAAAGGAGAATGGAGGCGCACCCGATTTCGGAGTTGGTATGGGCAAAGGAGAGGGAAACCAGACTAGTAGAACGGGAGAAGTTGCAAATAGACAAGCAGTTGAGGTGGCAAGAAATGTTGAAGGTTAAAGGGATACTGGTCCATGACAGGATGACGAGTGAGACGTTCCGCAAATTATTGTCGAGTTCCTTTTTTCAGCAGGTGGTCCATCTAAACCATCCATTTGAACGAGATGCGCCACAAGCAACCCCCCATGAGGATATGTTGGAATTTGCAAGGCTATACTACGAGGACATCCTCACATCTAGGCGACTTCAGGACACAGTCGACTCGGATCTCTCACAGAAATTGGACATGTGTGAAGATACGAAAATTCAGTTACTGGTGGAAGACAGGCTAGCGTTGGACAGACCGATCACGGAAGAGGAGTTGAGGCAGACGCTGAAGGTGATGGCCCCAGGGAAGTATCCTGGACGAGACAGCCTCACTGTAGAGTTCTACAGAGCCTGTTGGGAGGGGCTGGGGCCCACACTGGTGGAAGTCTATAACGAGGTTTTGCTGGAGGGTAAACTAGGAGGGTCCATTACGCATGGGGTAATTTTTGTGATGTTTAAAAAGGGAGATAAAATGAATATCAGAAATTATCGCCCCATCTCCGTCCTGAACGTCAGTTACAAGTTGCTGGCAAAAACGTTGGCCCTACGGCTGGGTAGAGTCCTCCCCAGATTGGTGGAGAGAGACCAAGGAGCATTTGTGCAGGGTCGCTCGATTTTCATTAATATCCTGACGGTGATCGAATGCATCGAAGTCATCCAGGCGGAGAAGCTAGAATACGCAGTGTTGCTATTGGATATGAAGAAGGCCTACGACGTAGTAGGATGAGCCTTCGTTCTCACTACACTTAGGAAAATGAGATTTGGGCAAGGCTTCTGCAAATGGGTTATCGCCATGCACACACTCGCTACTTCAGCAGTGCAGGTCAACGGGCATCTGTCAAACACGTTCCATCTGTCAAGATCCCTTCGACAAGGTTGTCCCCTAGCCCCCCTCCTGTTCGTACTATAGTTGGAAGTCCCACTGAACAGAATCCGCAAACATACAAGGATCCGTGGGCTGCCTGTTGCCATAGGAAAAGAATGCAGGGCAAAAACCTTGGCAGACGACCTCTTTTTGATCTCAGCAAACATAGGAGAATCACTGGAGGCGGTTAAAGAAGTGTTGTCGGAGTACTTGCTGTTGACTGAGGCATCCGTCAATTGGAATAAGTCTACCTATTTGTTGCCGACTGAACAGAGGCTACAGGTGGACTGGGGTATGCAGAGGGTGGACCCGGAAACCGGAGAACGCTTTTCTGGGGGTGATGGTGAGCACGCAACTGATGAATGTCATCCAGGGGGTGATCCTACAGCAAAGAGTGGAAGCTAGACTGAGGATTTGGGGCTCCGCCTGGCATCTGTCTTTGTACGGTAGGGCGCTGGTCATTAACGTGGCGCTGTTCTCACTCATTTGGTTTGTGGGAACGGTTAGAGAATTGGCAGCAACAGTAGTCTCTGAGATTAGGAGGTTAGCGGCGAGGTTCCTCTGGAAGCCCCGGGCGTCTGGGGAGGAGGGCTTCATGACGAAGGTGGCCTGGGAACTCATAACTTTTCCCAAGGAGCAGGGTGGGTTAGGCTTGATTGACCCACAACAAAAAAATCAAGCCCAACTGAGACAATGGCTGGCCAGGGTCGCAATGGCAGAGGTGAAGGAGGATTGAATCTTGTTGGCGGAGAGAATCCTGATGAGAGACTGGCAACTGAGTCGCGCAAAGGATGTATGGCTATGCTTCTTCGTGGAATCCTTCTTGAAGATGAAATTATCATCGGAGTTTTGGGATGTTGTGAGAAGGGCATGGCTCAAACACCCCCCGGAGATTCGAGAGTCGCTGCATACAAAAGAAGAAGTACTGCAACAAGGATTGTTTGAGAACTAGTTCATCACTGATGAGGCGGGCAACACATTTCGGGCAGGCTCAACCCTTGGCTCATTTGGCGAAGCTTGGATCTGCAGGGGAGTTTCTAGGATTGCAGACCTTTGGTCCGACCCTTGGGGCACCTAAAAGCATTTCAGCGAGATCCAACCAAGCCTACAGGGGCTATGGCATTCAGAAGAGAATTGGTAAAAAATCCAGCAGGCAATCCTAGCTCAGTGAAAACATCTTCTAGGCCCAGAGGGGATTGATCCTATAGGCACATGGTATGCCCCCCAATCAGTAGAAGGGAGGGGAGAACTCTGGGAGGTCCGGTAGAGGACGCAAAGTGGGTTCAGAGAGATTTGTAGGTGGTCTGTGGTAAAACAATCTACAACGGTTGTACCAGCAGGGGAGGAAGTAATTAGGGAATGGACAAACCCCCCTCAGGCGAGAGTGATTCAACATTTGAACAAGAAAGGGGGGCTGGTATCAACAAAATGGGTGGGTAGGGTGCCTCTACAGGAACTGACAATTGATCCAGAAGCTTAGAGGTGGGGAGGGGGTGTAGTCCCAAGGCTTAACCCCCGAGGCCTGGACATATCAAACATTACGGTGAGGGAGTCATACAAGCTGGCGGAACGCAGGACGAGAAACCCAGCGGAAGTAGCCGTGACTAAATGGAGCGCGGTTCTAATGGAAGACCTGCAGGGGAGGGAGGGTGACTTTGTGAAACTATAGAATATCTTACTCACCCTTCCGGACCTCAAATAAGCTAGCTTACTGTGGATGCTCTCGCTGCTGGTTACCCCCTCGGTGGTGTGGCTCTGTAGTAGAGGTATGGAAGCCCCCTTGAAGTGCTCCAAATGCTCGTGACCCTTCGAATCAACTAAACACCTATGGTGGGATTGCCCGACGTGAAGGAAAATCTGGAGATGGTGGGAGGAACATTGGGGAAGATTGGGAGGGGAGGAGATTGTGTGGGACGAAAAATGGGTACTACTGGGCTTTGTGGGGAGTGAGAAGACAGGGAAAAAAGGTTGGCCATATGTGGTCCATGTGGCCAGGGCGGTCACTTGTTCGGTCATATGGGCCGACAGAAACCGCTTCAGGTTCGAGGGGCGCCCTTTCTCTGACGCTGAAACTAAAGCAGGCATCAAGAGAGGTCTACGTACAACCATTTGGGCTGACTGGTGTAGGAAAGCCAAATGCGGCATAGGCCCAAGGAGACAACTTTGGTGGTTTCTGAGATCCTGGGCAAAGGGTAATCAGTTGGCCGGGGTTCATACCTCGCGGGGCCTGGTGATCTCAAAGTGGCTGAGCTCTTAAGCGACGATAGTTATATAGAGGTAGTAGGTAGGGGTTGGGGATAAGTTGCAGTATAGGTGGACCAGGGTCCCTCGGTCAGTAAGGGGGAGGATAGAGAGGGCCAAGGACCTAACCAGGGCACTCGGTTGGTAGGGACGCAGTGGTCCATTAGGAGAGTGCTAGGGAAGGGAAGGGGGGAACAGTAGGTTCCACCAGGTTGGTTAGGCCTGGTCGTCGCTTTAGACGCCAAGTAGTAGGAAGAGTAATGAATTTTAAATAGTCTGATGTATTTTAGTATGGTGGAGAAGAGGAGATTAGCAGTGTCTGAGAAGTGAGGATGGCTTGAATCCGGTTCAGTTTATGTGTCTGTGTATCGAAGATTGGGTTCCCGGTTCGGCTGGGACCGTAAGCTAAACTGGCTGCTGCTGCCAGGATAACTCCGGGTTGAATTGTGAGGTCCCCGGCCTCGATGATTAATTGTTTTGAAATATAATAATACTCAATTGTTTTTTCAAAAAAAAAAAAAAAAAAAGTCTATTGTATAGTACGGAGGAACACCAACCAACCCGGATCTCTCCCTGGTGGCCCATGGGGAAGGTTGGCACCACAACAGTAGTGCAAGAGCAAGGCTGTACCATACCAGTGATGAGGGACTGGTACAGCCTTGCTCTTGGACCACTGTTGTGGTGCCAACCTACCCCAGCGATACTGACCGTAGATAACAGAGATCAACGGCCAGATTCTCGTAATCCGTGCAAGTGGGACCTTGCCCCCGTGGGCTACGGGTAGGGAGAGATCCGGGTTGGTTGGTGTTCCCCCGTACTACACGGTGATGGGGGGTGGGCAGGCATTGCCGATGGGGGAAATCGGCCGTGCTATTTTCTGTAGCGCCGAGTAATTGCCAGTCACTGCACCTCCCCCTACCCCTCCCCCCCAAAACCCCACATGGCGGTGTCTAATGGCCAATATTGTCGCTGCATAGCAACCAACAGCATCAGCCAAGGTCCTGTCAATGCTGGCTTGGGGAGCCAACGGGTTATCTGTAGCTGGTAGACCACCAAACTTGCCAGGCGTATGGGGATTGAGCCCACGCCCTCCTGAATGCAACTTCTGTGCCTTACCAATTGAGTCGTTTTTGTCTTTGTGCATTTCGTTTCATGAGTAGTGCGGCGAGGGTTTGTTTGCGAGCCATAGAAATAGAGTAATCGTGCTGCAGTCCGCACGAAATACACCGCAGGGATTGTTCACGACCCACCCACAGAAGAAGAGTAATCGTGCTGCGACTAAGGGAGTCGTCGTTCGTTGCTGCGTCTAAGGGGGAGAGTCGTTCGTGGTGCGTGTAAGCGGAGGAGGAGCCGTTTTGGCCGAAGAGAGGCATTTGCCAACTAAGGGGAGAGAAGAGAGAGAGAGAGAGAGAGGGAGGGGAGAGGAGAGAGAGAGAGAGGGAGAGATGGCGATCTTGTCAGAGATCGAAGATGATTCGAAACGTGATCGTGCAGAGGCTGTGAAGGAGGAAAGAGCAGTGCCGAATCCGGTATCGCCTTCCGGTGTATCCACGTCAGAGCCTGCAGGGAAGTTCGATGATGCCTTAGAGACACTGCTGCGACAGCATCAGTCAAACCCGCTCCCATTCCTTGACACCGTGTTTGACTTTCTGGACAGAAAGTCGTTCTTGTTCGCGGACGATAACGCTCCTTCTGCAGTCTCCGATCTCGTCGCGGAAGCCAAGAGGAGAAGGGTGGAGAGATTGAAATCCACGTCCTCGGCGGCAAAGCTGAGAGCGGCGTCGCCGTCGCCGTCGGTAGATGGTGCTGCTGGAACTAGAGACGATGGTGCGAAAGTCGGCGCTCCTGCTGTGGGGAAGAAGCGTGATCAGCCTCCATCAGCAGGAGGAGCGGGGTCCACCGACGATGGACTTGGACGTGGTGGGGGTGCGGAAGGAAATCTGCACCCCAAGGCTCAGCCCAAGGCTGAAGAAGGGAAGGAGAACGCCAAAGCAGATCCGATCGATTTGAATGCGAAGCCTGACGACAGCGTGAAAGGCGATGGCAAGGCAGACGGGAAGCAAGAGGAGGAGGAGGAGGAGGACGGCGGCAAAGGCATAAGTAAGCATCCGCAGGATCTTGATTTCTTCTTCTTTGTTCGTGTCGCAATAAGTATGAAAATAAAGCGTCTAATCATTCTGCCACCACCTGCCGGGCAGCAGCTTTGCTTCTCTCTTTTCTCTCTCTCTCCCCTTCTTATTCTCAGTGCAGTGCTGTTCTTCTTTCCTGTGCTGCTTCTCTTCTACCTTTCCAAGGTCATCGATGCGGTCTTTGGACTCCCTCTTCACCTATTCTTTCACCTTCTCATCCCCTCAAAACGTTCATCCACCTCAGAGCATGCTCGCTCTAGGACTTTCCTTGATGTATCTATCTGCTAGTTACGGCCAAGTTCTGGATGCATCTGACCGCAATGACGTCAGAAATTTGTCGAAAAAATCCGTGTGATATGTCCTCAGCTTCGATTCTGTGCCATCTACGGGGGAGCTCTGCCTTTCTTGGCCCTCGCCTGGTCGTCCGTGCTCGTCTTCTTTTGTATGCTTATCCATTTCTGCCCCTCCAAGGTCTCACGATTCTTTCTCCTCCCTCTCTTGACGTGATCCGCCGTCTCGTTCTCCCGTTAATCTGTCTGGTCTCGATTCCGTTGCATCGGTGCAAGATCTCTGGCTCTTTCTACCTCTCTTCTTCCCCGTTGTGCTCCTGTTTTTTCGCTTGCGTGCCTTTTCTTTCTATCGTTTCTCCGTGTCGCCGCCTTTTTTTCTTTCCTCCTCAATCCGTTCTCCCTCTCCCCTCCCACCTCCTCTGCTTCTTTCTCCCTCTCCTCTCCTCCCTCCTCCTTTCCTCCTCTCCTCCCTCCTCCTTCCCTCCTCTGCGAACTGTGCTCTCTGTCTACCCTTCAGGTCTTCGGTTCCGTCTTTCCTTTCCACCTCTTCTTCTTCCCTCTCCTCTCCTCTCCTTCCTGCTCCTCCCTCCACCCTTCTCAATTCTGCTCTGTCTACCCTTCGGCTCTGCAGTTCTTTCCATTCCACCTCTGCTTCTTCCGTCTCTACTACTTCTCCCATCCTCTGAATTCCCTCCTCCTTTGCGAACTCTGCTCCCTCTCCTCTCCTCCCTCCTCCTCTGCGAACTGTGCTCCCTCCTCCTTCCCTCCTTCCCTCCTCTGCGAACGGTTCCATCTTTCCTCCTCAATCCGTTCTCCCTCTCCCCTCCCTCCTCCTCCGCTTCTTCCTCCCTCTCCTCTCCTCCCTCCTCCTTCCCTCCTCCATCCCTCCTCCTCTGCTCCCTGTCACGCTATATATGTGGTAGTAGCTCCTCCCTTCATCTCCATGTTCTGTTGTTTTGCCGCTTTTACCCTTTTTTTAACATGTTGATATGGACGATGAGGCTTCAGGTGCCTGCCACGTGTCAACTGTATCCTCAGGTATTGGATGAATGGATTTGAAGTCAAAGACGGAGAGCGTTATTTCCTTTACAGAAAGTGCTAAGGTCAGATATAGTATTACTTGCCTGACATGGCGCCACGCGTCAGCTGCTAGATGGTGGAGATTCCGATGGCAAAAGTTTGCCGCCCTGAGGCGGATGGATGTCTTCTGATATGGCGCGGTAGGGATAGGGTTTGCTGTAGCAGCGGGTCTGTGATTACTTCGATCAGCGTAACTGTCACTGCGATAGGGCGAGTGAAGTGAAGCGATAGGTCAAGGTAACTTTCTTTCACCCCCCCCCCCCCCCCCCCCCCCTTTCAATAAAAGGTCGATTAGATTGGATATCATTTGCAAAGATGCCGAGGGCCTCGCAATTCTACCCGGTTATTGAGAGCTTTACTCAGCTTAGCTTAGTCCAGGGGCAGACCTGGCAGTGGAATATGAAGGGCAGGAAGGTAACTTGCCTCCAGGCCCGTGGCAATAAAAGTTCGCGGCGCTGATGCGGATGGATGTCTTGGGATATGGCGCGGTCGGGATAGGGTTTGCTGTAGTAGCGGGTCTGTGATTACTTCTTTCGAGCTGTCTAACTGTCACTGTGATCATGGGAGTGAAGCTTTTTTTTTTTTTTTTTTTTTTTCAGGACAAACTTCCTCGAGTGCTAGCGGTACTGGTAAGAGCAGACACCGCTAGCACCCGGGGAAAGGCTCCCATCTATTGGTGGGGAGCGTCACCTGCTGAAAAACGGGTCCAGCGTCCCTTGTACAAGGTGATTTGGAAAAAAGTCGGAAAACGGGGACTGATCATGGGAGTGAAGCTAAGCGAAGCGATAGGGGAAGGTAACTTTGCCTGTATGTTCAGGGTGGCGGGCTATGATATGCGCGTGCGGCTATATTGCCCAGGCTGGAGCTCGCGCGGGGATTGAACCCTCGATGCTGATCTGGGCAATAGGCTCTACTGAGACTTAGGCGAGCTGGAAGAGCGGCATGTTTCGGATTCCCCCTGACGTGGAAGGGGAATCGAACCCTCGACAATTCGCAGTAAGTTATCGGGACTTTAATGGGGAGGGGATAGGGACTTCAATGGGGAAAGAGGGGGGGGGGAGGAGGGGGAAGAGCGGGCCGTTATGGGTTTCCTCTGACGACCTGGCAGTCGGGGGGGGGGGATCGATCCCTCGACGCTGATCTTTACGATAAGCTGTGGATTGCCACTGACCTGGCAGGAGGAGATCGGACTGACCTGGCATGGGGAAGAGCGGACTGTAACGGATTCCCACTGACCTGGCAGGAGGGGATCCAACGTCGACGCTGATGTGGCAGAGGGGTTGAATCGTCGACGTCTTACTGATCTGGCAGGGGATGGAACCCTCGACACTGATCTTTCCTCGACGCCGATTAGGGAGTGGATGAAACCCTCGGCATCTCACTGATCTAACAGAAGATTGATTGAACCTTCGCCGTCTGCTCAGAACGAATTACTGAGATCGTTACTGATACTCCAAGACATTTGTCGATCGTCGAAATCGTATTAGGGCTACCGTATTGTTTTGGTTTCCTCCTTTTTTCTGTTTGATTGTATTAGGGCTAACCAAACGGAAACCTGAAGGCTGATCTCTGTCTCCGACTGAAGCAGCAGGGGGTTTGATCCTTGCACCTATCACTTTGGAGTAATCGAAATTAGGGGGGTGGAAGTAGGCACTGCTAATTAGGTCAGTGTCTTCCCGCGTATAAACGGCCCATACATCGTGACCGTGCAATCAAGGCTAAATCAGACTGTCCAAGAATAGTTTAACCCATCCGGGCGGGGGAGGGTGGGGTTGGGGGGAGAGGAAGAGGGGGGGGGGGGGGGGAGAAGGGKGGGCTTTGTAATTGCTTGTGGCACATTACAGGGGAGGGGCCACATGTAATAGTTTTTTCGTTGGCACAGTACAAGGAGGGCATACGGAATCGTTTAGCACATTGCAGGAGTGGGCATGCGTGTTGGCTTCCTGCGCGGCATGAAGGGGTTTGTTGCAATCGGCGGTGATCTGTTCCTGCTGTTGCGCGGATTTTTCTCTTTTTATGGTTTCGACATTTGACAGCTGGTGAGTTTGGTGTTGATCGTTGACTTCATCATCTCGTGCACGTGGGCCTGCGATTTGCAAAATCTTGTCGCCAGACTGACGGGTGGTGTGTCGGGGTCCGGAAGATGGGGTAAGAGAACGTTTCTTGAGTTGTTATAGARRGGGGGGGGGGGGGGGGGGGGGGGGGGGGGAATTCCTTAAAGAGTGACATTCACACCGGCTGATTCGAATGGATGTGGCCTTGTGCTGCGGTCAGATGCGTGCACAACAGTCCTAGCGTGCATAGCCCTATCGTGGTGGAGTTGTGGGTGCATGCTCTCTGAGGGAGGAGGGTTTCTTGAGTTTTTTGCCCGGTAAGATGTCCTCTTGGACATCGAGACAGCTCACTCGCACACGGGAAGACGTCTTCGTAACCTCACTCGCACACGGGAAGACGTCTTCGTCGTAACCTCGCTTTGATTGCGGTCAGGTGCATGACCGATAGTCCTAGCATGCCCTTTGGTGGACGTCGTAACCTGGCTTTGATGCATGGCCGATAGTCCTAGCATGCCCTTCGGTGGACCTGTGGATTCACATCACCAAAGGTGCGAAAACGCACTATCTTACCGAGAACGGGTTGCCAGCTACTGGCTTCCGCTGATGAACACGGCGCAGCCCTGATCGTGAATGTACACAAGCTATCTTTCCGGTCCGATTCTGCCTTGTATTCGGCGGAGGATGGTTGGCTTTAGAAGCAGAGTCCATCGGATTACCGTAATTTCTGTAATTTACCTCTAGTGCTGTTTTCATTCTTGTTTTCTTTTTCGGTTGGCTCACAGGGTTCGGGATCGGGACGGGACATCGAGTCAGTGATATTAAGGGATGAGGAGACTCGCAAATGGGAGTAGATACGAATGTCCGCACACTTTCAGAGTGACTGAATGCTCTCTTCTATTCCCGAGACGGGGGTATACGGAAGTTGCAGGTCGTGTGTGATAGCGGGAGAGAGAGAGAGAGAGAGAGAGAGAGAGAGAGAGAGAGAGAGATGTTAGGCGGTGGGGGCGGGTAATGCTGGGAGGGGGAGAGAGAGAGAGAGAGAGAGATTTGTGATTATGCTGGAATTGGTCCATTTCAGTCCGCTTTTCCATGTTCTCGATCTCTTTGCAGCATACGCAGCTGGAGGCTCTAGCTTGTTTCTGTTCTGAAACTCGCCTCCACTGTCTCCGTGCTTGGTTCTCTGCCCTCTTTTTCTTCGTCTTCATGTTGCTCTCCTTTTCTGTCCACCAGTTAGCTTTCTCCGCCCTCCCCTTCCCTGTATGAGCGGTTATCACCTTCCACTTTCACATCGTGTGCTCTTAAGTACTCGTCTGAGGTGCAGCGATTATGACGTCTCGCGGTCTCTGCTGGCCATCTATGACTGCCAGCCAGCGGCTCCTAAGAACCCTAAGCCCAGTGGACGGGGGTATCCCACTCGCCCATTCTATCTTCATTTTGTGTTGTCGTCATCCCATTTCCAGTTCTATCTTCATGCTGTTTCTGAGCTTACCCGTTCACGAGACATAGGTCCGCCACTTGTCGTCTTTTCCGTCTTTTAGCTCCGTTTCTCTCTCTCTCTCTCTCCCTCTCTCTTATGCCTCCTTGCCTTGTTTCTATCTCTATCCCTCTTTCTTGTGTGTGGAACCTCACGCCGGATCTTACGCCGAACCGTACGACGGGCGAATCTTACGACGAACCGTGCGCCGGACGGATCTTACGCCGAACTGTACGCCGGATCTTACGCCGAACCGTGCGCCGGACGGATCTTACGCCCGACCGTACGCCGGACGGATCTTACGCCGAACCGTACGCCGGATCTTACGCCGAACCGTACGCCGGATCTTACGCCGAACCGTACGCCGGATCTTACACGACACTTTGCACGGCACCTTGCACCACAAAACGCACCGGACACGCAACTTCACACCTTAAACCTTACAGCGAACCCCACACCGCACCTTGCACGGGACCGACCTTACAGCGCACCTTGTATCCCCTTCAAGAAAAAAAAAAGATATCATGATGTAGAGTAGGGGGCAGTGCAGAACGCCTGCCCTCGGAACAACACGTGACAGTTTCCCGTCATGCAGCTCGCCCCCCTGAACCTTAGCCTGTTTTATCTAGTATATGAGAGGCAGTTGAAAAAACTTGCAATTCTTGGGTAATTTGTGCTACCGTCGTCCCCCGAACATAACGCACCCTTAAAATGAATGTATACAAGTTATATTTCCGGCCAGTTGCAGCCAAAATGAGGGTGCGTTGTGTTCGGGGGAAGACGGTAGTGACATCCCATCACTTGTCCTTGTACGGCATGCCGTGGTCCCGTCTCACGAACCTCTGTGTCTTTTCCGTGTTGGTCACTTCTTTCTTTTGCTTGCTCCTCGTCCCTCCCTCTCCTTCTGTCCCTGTTTTTCCGCCTTTTTTTTTTTTTAGTATTTAAAAAAATGGAAACCGGGATTGTTTTTTTATTTGTATTTAAAAATGGAAACCAGGTCCAGTGTTCCTTATATCTGCTGGCACACACACAACGCTTTCCTTCGTTATGACCAAGGGGCACTGAGACGGCAGCATTGATTATTTCTATAAGCACTGTCCCTTTTCTGCTCTCCCTTTTCACTCCCTTTCCCTTTTCCTCTCTTTTTTTCTCTCCTTTTCTCCCTTATTTTCTTCTTTTTTCTCTCTTTCTCCTTCTTTCTCCTTCTTTTCTCTCCTTTTTTCTCTCCTTTTTTTCTCCTTTTTTCTCTCTTTCTTCTGTCTCCTCCGTTCTCTTCGTTTTGCCCTTTTTGCCTCTTCGTGTTGCTTACCGTGTCGTCACTTGCATCTGTATGCGAGTAACTAGATGGTGGACATTTATTTGACTGCTGATTAATACGATTCAGGTTGGTAATTGTGCTTTCGTTACCTCTCTCTTGCTTGCAGAGCCGAATGCAGGGAATGGTGCAGACCATGAGAAGTATTCTTGGACACAGACTCTGTCAGAGTTGTCAGTGTCGATCCCTGTGCCCCCGGGCACCAAAGCCCGCGCTTTGACTGTGGACATCAAGAGGAACCATCTCAAGGCTGGCCTGAAAGGGATGCAGCCTATTCTGGCGGTAAGAAAGTATCCATGAAGCTGTCCAGCTGTCCAGCTCTGATTTCTGCGTGCGGATTGATACTGCAATGCTTGAAAGGACCCCGTCTATGTGTGTTACCCTCTTTTCTTTGCACCTCCAGTTCTTGCCCGTGGGGAGATGTGCGACCGGTCCCAGGTCTTGCCGGGCTTAAAAAGTAAAGTGAGGCGGTTATTTTGGGGAAGAGAGAGAGAGAGAGGGCTATCTCTCACGGCCCCATGTATATCCGAAGGGGCATATGAAACGCCCATCTTTCCGCCCTCTCTCTTGCCTGGTTTCTTCCGGGATTGCGCTGGGATCAACACCACCGATCTCCTAAGATCAACTGTTAACACCCCACCACCACCACCTTCGTCACCCTTCTTTCTCGTACACCCTCTTCCCCCCCCCCTCCTCCTCCCCCCCCCGATAGTCATTTGGGGCAGTTCCTTGCTTTTCTTATTTTCCAAGCTAGAGGCTCTGCCTCACTTAAGGCGGGGCCTTTCAGGTCTGGTGCCCAGCCCCCTTAAGTGAGGCAGAACCTTTAACTTGGAGAACAAACCCCAAATGATTAAGTGACTATCTTGGGGGGGAGGGAAGGGTTGTACGAGAAAGAAGGGTGATGAAGGCGGCGGTGGTGGTGGGGTGTTATCGGTGGTGTTGATCCCAGCTCAATCCTGGAAGAAAGCAAGGTAGAGAGAGGGTGGGAAGATGGGCGTTTCATATGCGCTTTCAATCTGGAGAAAGAGCTTTCAATCTGTGAATCCGTGGTAAGTATGGATGTTGGTGCGTTCCCGAAGGTCACCCGTGTCTTTTGACCCAGGTTGACGGAGGCAGGCCACCCGTTGGATTCATCAGTATAGTGTGCAAGGCTTAGTCTTTTCTAGTCTGTCGGCCTACGGTTTTTCTGTCTGTCTGTCTGTGGGGGTTGGTTCAATTTTTTGGGAACTAGTGGTGGTAGTCCAAGTGCTCCCAGTCTGTGTATGTCTGCTGAGCCACCAGTCCCTCCGACGTCGAAAAATCGTCTTCCGGGGCCTCACGGAGCGGGGTTTTAGGAGGGAAGGGAGGGGGGGGACCGACCGGCAATGCAGGTGGGTCCTGTCGCACAATTTTCAAACGTCAACTTCGGCGATTTTTCGCGCTCAGAAGAATTGAAAAAAAATATTTGAACTTTTGGTATCCTGTAGATTAGGATGTGATCTTCCCAGGAAAAATATCAGAAAAATGAATGAAAATCTTTTAGACTGTGAAATAGATGCCGTGCCGATTCGTTTCGTTTTCAAGTTTTGCCACTCTACAACGTGTGAGCCAAACGGGGAAAGCACCCTAATTTCAGCGATTTTTCATGCTCAGAACAATATGTCAAAATAATTGAAAATTGGAGGGTGCATAGATTTGGTCGTGATCTTTCCAGGAAAAATATTTGCAAAATTTCAAAAAAAATCGTTTCAATGGCAAAACTAGTCGTGGCGTGAAGTTGACACATTTTCCCTTTTCCCTACTCTGGCAGTTCTCCACACTGAGCTGTCGGTACCCCTTATGAACCTGTGCTACTGATCCCCCTGAATCTTCAGCGTCGGGGCAACTGGTGGTTTAAATGGTAGGATCACTGGGATATGAATTTGTTCCATTTGGCTGTGTCGAGGTCACCTGCCTTGCGCTTAGCCTTTGGCTTTGGTTACTCTGGTATTTCAAGCTCCAGCTTGAACTGAAATGATGGTTCGTGAACGCTTGGACTGGAGTGATGATTTGTGAACGTCTCTCCCTTGCGTTCGCCTTTCAGATGGTTAAATTGCTTATTAGTACTGTGAAACAGCATGTGCAAAGAGACAGTAGGTAGGTGCCCACAATGTTTGGTAGTCTTCCTGCTGTGATTGCATCTTGGCTTCCTCCTGGTCGGTTGCTGAATATTTTTGGACTCTTTTCTGTGCGCTGCGTATGCTGTCTTGGTGATGCTGGTTTTAGCCAATGCCATTGCTATTGTGTGTTTGCTGTGGTGTGGAGAGAGCATATTCCAACTGTATCCGGCTCACAGCTCACGAGCCAAGCACATGAAGAGAAGCCATGGGTTCTACAGTTCTACTATTATCTATGCTACTGTACGCCCGATCATTGTTGCCGTATCTCGACTGAAAGTTGTTCCAAATACAGTTGTAATGACCTGGCATTCTATTCCGGTGAAGGCGGTAGGAGAAAGGCAGTAGCAGCTCCTTGTGGGCAGTGTTAGTGAGCGTTGTAGGCAGTGTTAGTGAGCATGTGAACTAGACCGAGGCACACCATTTTTGTGATTAATCTGTTGATATTGGTTCGTACTTTGAATATTGCAGGGTGAACTTCACAAATCTGTCAAGGCGGACGAGTGTTACTGGGGACTTGGTGCGTACACGTCTCCTATACTTTTTCATATCTCACGGAGAGTGTTCAAGGCAATCTCTCTCATTAGTTAATCTGCACTTACCTCAGAGATGGGAATACATGTGTTAATCTGCACGCACTTCAGAAATGGGAATACATGTGTTGCATAGCGCTGACAGAGTTTGTTAATCCATCTCTTTCTTGTGCTTTTCTTCTTGAATATGTTGTTCTTTTCGCTCTCTTTCTCCTTTTTTTGTTCCTTCCGTTCTCTTTCTCGTTTTTGTTCTTTTCGTTCTCTCTCTCTTTTCTCTTTAAGGGGGGGTGGCTGTCCTGAGATATCATCACCGAACTGCCTGACCCTAAGTAATTCAACAGTTGTTCCGTCAGGATTCGAGCTTAGGTCTGTTTATCAGCAGCAGTTGAAGGGTGTAGTACCATTCAGCTGCGTGGGCTAAGGACCCTATTGTGTTCTTTCAAATTTTGCACGTTTCCTCTTCGAGGGTTTTCGCTCTGCTCTGCAGTTTCAAGTTGCTCATAGGTCGTATGGTGCTGGCTGAAGAACGAACCGAAATGAATGAATGGTGCCGGGCATGATGCCTCCTCCCTTGATAATAATGTTATCACTGGTTGTGGGTTGCGGTGGACTGCAGTGGGTTGCAGTGAGGTAGGCAAGGCTTCCAGGTGCTGTGCATAATATTGCCAGCATTGGTTTCTGATTTGCAGATGTGAAATGCTTCTGTCATGTGGCCAGGGAATATGTTTCTCCTTTTTTTGTGTGTTTTTAGGACTGCCAGAAGTTTGGTGGTGTGGATTGGTAATCGTGCATTCAGATTGCATTCTGAATGCTTGTTCGTTGTTCATGCAGATTTTGGTTTTCTTCGGGGCTGCAATTGGTTTTCTCTCATCCATTCTGATAGTTTCTAGCTCCTTTTGCATGTGTCCCCACTATGTCTTCCCAGAATAGATCAATAATGCACGGTCATTATGACTGTATCTGGACTGAAAGGTGCTGCAAAAACAGCTAAAATGGCTGTGCGTTCTACTCGTCGGGGTAAGACGGCAAGATGCTTTGATTATCTTTTTGGTACTGTGATTTGAAGGTAGTGGGACGTCGTTGATCGTTGTCGGCTGTTTTCGCGGAGAATGTGTTGAGGCAACTGGTTCGCATTCCTGAAGTAACAATTATGCAGGGGGCGAGGCATGGTTGAAACTGACATGCTTTTTTTTTTTTTGAATCTGGAGGTTGCTGAGTAAGTGCTGTTGTGCTGGTTTTTTTTTTTGACTCATGTACTTAGTGAAGACTTGTTTCTAGTCCCAAATGAGACCTGGTTACCATTATAGACTTGGTCGAGACAGTCCCAGTCAGAAATAAGGACTTGGTTCTAGTCCCAGTCGGTCGGGGAAACCAAGCGATCGAACACATTCCTGTAGGTCCTACAGTCCTCTGCAATGTGCTCTGCCGGGAAGGGGCCCTGCTAACTTGAGAGAATGTGGGACTTTTTTTGCCGGTTTTCGTCTTTTGTTCCATTTCTGACGTGTATTGCGTGAACTTGGACTTTGTAGAGGATGGGAAAGTTCTGTCGATACATTTGACGAAGGTGAATACGATGGAGTGGTGGAATTGCGTGGTGAATGGTGAGCCTGTCATCAACACGCAGAAGGTGGAGCCGGAGAACTCGAAGCTTTCTGATCTCGATGGGGAGACACGACAGACAGTCGAGAAGATGATGGTGAGCGTATTATGTCATCAAGTCGACACATTAAAACAAGTGCAACCGTTTGTTAAACCACCAGTACCTCCTAAAAGTGCTCCCCGTTAACGGGCGTGGCTTTTGGGATGAATGGGCTTTTGGGCTGGTAGCCCCGATTCAGCCAAGTGGAAACGGTGTTTCTACTTTTGGCTGGCCGTTAACGAGGAGCACTTTTAGGAGGTACTGGTGGTTTAAACGCTCATCCAGCAACAGGATTTCTTCTTCATTGTCTTTGTCAGCGGAAGGCATGGATAAATCAGAAATTTTATTATCGAGTAAACTTGAATCTTGCCACGTGGGATCGAGCTGCGATCGTGACTGTCCTCCTTTCAATACCGGAAGGGCACAATGACCGAGTGAGTATGTCTCTGAGTCATCATTGTATGCCCAGTGCTAACGCCCTGGCTTTTGGGGTGTTGCAAGTAAGGCCGGAAAAGTCCCTGGGCACAATTTGGGAAAAGCTGCACAGAGCTGCATTTTTCTTTTTTATGCTTGAAAGGGGCCGAGCCCCTCGCAAGCTGGGACGGACCCTATCAGTTGATCTATGGTCTGTTAATGTCCCTGTGTACATCCACCGCCTGCTTGAGACATGGAGAGTAAGTTATTACTAGTGTATGTATGACCATGAATGGGATCGGCTTCATGGATCAAGTCCAATAAATTGTCCTAACCTTATGTCCTGTTTCATCGAGGGCCGTCTTTGATGGGACGAAAAAGTTTTTTTCGGTAGGGTCCTGCGATTTTGGAAGGGGGAATCTTGAGCAGGGGACGTGAGGAAAAGTTGAGGGATTTGCAAAGTGCTCTAGGGGGAGAAGGGGGTTGGAGAGTATCTGTGGAAAAAGGGGAGGGGAGAGAGTGTTTAGGGGGGAAGAGGGGGATGGGCGGGTCTGACGATTTGCAGGCATTCGAAGGTGCATATGGGGAAGAGAACTGATATGGTGTTGTGAGTTGCACAGAATGTGGGTAGAATGGATGTCACGGAGATTGTATGATCCTTCATATGCATTTGAAAGAGAAGTGGCAGAGGGAGTTCCAAAGTGCTTTACATGTGGTACCAGCGGGGTTGTGGGGAGGGAAGTAAAGGGAAGCATGGAGTAGTGTTGAAGTGAGGGGAGGGGAATACATGGACAAGCTGAACGGACTGACGGCATCAAGGGGCTGTAGCCTGCTCAGAGGAGGTGGACTGCGAAGGAGGCTTGGCAGCATGAAGGGGCTGCAGTCTGCTCAGAGGAGGCAGAGAGTCAAGGGGCCTTGCGGAATGCCTCGTGTATTTACACACGTACATGCAGGGGAGCAGCATACGTTGGATCCCAGGGTATAAATGCGGGAGCGCTGCGGAGGGAGGGTTGCAATGTGATGACCGTTTATCCAAAGGAGTCTGGGGAAGTTTTGAGCATGCACACTGTATGTCTGTTTGTGTGCGCGCACACACACACACACACACACACACAAACACACACACACACACACACACACACACAGACACACACACACGCACACACACACACACACACACACACAGAGAGAGGGAGGATGTTAGGATGCTAGAACGTCTGTTGCCGTCTGAGAGAAGGCCGGTGTTGTTAGGGATAGGATGTTAGGATGTTGCTATGCAGCATCCAGTGCAGACCACCACCTCATTATTTTTTCAATTGAATGTGACCACAGTTGGCTGTGAGGGGCATGGACCTCCTGGAAGAAAAAAAAGACGTACGTTTGAACGTAAAACATAAGACTGAAAGGATGACACATAAATTGAGAAACGGTCGAACTAAAAAACAGCAAAAAAAAGCAACTCCACGTTGTCTTCCTTGTGTGCCATTACAGAAAAAGACAGCCTATAGATTGGGAGTCTGGTTGCCCCCCAACCCCTCTCCCCCCCCCGGCTAAAAAAGATCCGGGGAGCATCTGTGGTCTCCCCTTGTCCCACGGTTGAACTAGTTTGACTAAATGGGTGATGAGATGAGGCCCCTTGTTTTAGCAAAATCTCTGTCCCCCCCCCAAAAAAAAAAACAAAAAAAAAAACCATAGTCTCAATTTGTGCGTGTCATCCTTGCGCAGGGGCCATGCTTATCTTTTTTGTATTGTTCCGATTTTAATGGATGTCCCAAAGTACTGGTTTTGGCAAAATCTGATGCTCCCTACTCTTAAAAGCAAGCTGTAAGAAGCTTTCCAGTCTTTAGAATGGCTGCATATGAAGTATCGATTGCAGCGTTTGAGGTGAAGGGATTTGGTCTAGTCCACGGGTATTATCCACTAAACCTGCTGCCTTGGCCTTCGGCCACACCGTTTTGTGATGTGCCTTCTTTCTTTTCGTTTTTTTTTGTGTTTTGAAGCCGTCTTTTCCTCATACGGGACACAGCTATTATTTTTCTCAGCAGGGGTTATGGGAAGTAATCAAATGCCGCCACTTCCCCCCCCCCCCCCAAAAAAAAAAAAAGGTTACTTGGTTCATACACTGCTCAATGCGGGGCGCAGAACCCAGGCTCCTAACACCTGGTTGCGGCTGGGAGGAGGACGCCGACCCCAACCAGCCAGGAGGGGCAAGCCATCTATCTTAGCTGGTGAACTCGTAGCATGACGCAGGACGCCGTGGGGGTTCGAGTGAAAGATGTGGGGACTTTATCCCACAACCTTCTGAATGCCACTTTCGTGCTCTACCAACTGAGCTACGCTGTGTGGCCCATTTTGTAATGTGCCTTGTTGAAATGTCCTTTTTTTTGTGGTTGAAAATCCCAGAAGTGTACTCTCTTAGCGGTGGTGTGCATGTTGTCGTACTTACTTTCTCGGCCTCTTTGTTCTGTGTTGTGCCTGCAGTTTGATCAGCGGCAGAAGGCCTTGGGGCTTCCCACCAGTGAGGAACAGAAGAAGCAGGACATCTTGAAGAAGTTCATGGCACAGGTGAGCTCCAAGCTTCCCACCAGAAATAAGAAACAAACAAACAAGAACGCAAGGGAAACGAGTAATAACGAAATGACAGAATTCCGGATTGCAAATCACATTGAAAGCCAGATGGTCGAACGCTGTCTAGAAAGCAGGATTGCACTGATATTACACGGAAGGAGAACAAGAACCAACAAACTCACTTGTCAATGAAAGCATATACTCTCCAAGCGACGAAACAACAAGCAACTTGTTGACGTCGGCAGCAGCAACCGAGATACGTTTAGGAAAGCACTAGTGTGAGTACGCGCTAACATGGTAAGGCTTTTACCGGAAAGCACTAGTGTTGACGTCAGCAGCAGCAACCGGAGAGGCACAGTAAGGGAGAGATGAAAGGAAAGAAATCACAAGTGAAAAGGAAAGGAACTCGCAGAAAAAAAAAGAAAAGAGACGCAGAAAAAGGCGAAAAGGACAGTTTCAGCGTGCCTCGTACGGTCTTCTCTTTTCTTCAATGATTTCACGAATTTTTTTTTTTTTTTTCTTTTTTTTTTTTTAACTTTGCAATGAAAACAGCTGGCAACTGGGCTGAGTGTCCCTTACAACAGTCGTACTCACCCTGCACTCCTCCTCGTTATGCCTGGGAGGCCCTGAGACAGCGGCATTGATTGTTCCCCTTTCGGGAGGATGTCCCCCTGCGATGCCTGGTTTGCCCTCCCTACCCTACAACACTGTGCTGAAGCGTAACAACCAGTACCACCATTCTTGTGCCCTGTGCACTCACTCTTGGTGACCCTCTTCTCTTTCCTCTCCGGTTCCCCTCTTCTTCCCTTTTTGTGGATAGACATGTGACAATGTATTGCTGTGCTTTTGAATTCCTCTCTCTCTCTCTCTCTCTCTCTCTCTCTCTCTCTCTCTCTCTCTCTCTGACTCTTACTCTCTCCCTCTCTGTCTCTCTCTCTGTGCCTGCCGCTCTGGTTTGGAGCAGTTTTCCCCTTGGTGTCTCATTCGGAACTGTTATGGTGGACCCGCTTCGCAATTTGAAGTGGCATTTATATTTTGACGATATATATTATATATATACATATTTCTATTTGACGATATATATATAATATATAATGTTACAACAATACAATATGTTCTCTTTTGAAGGGACTCGTTTGCATATCATATGTTGTATTAGAACATAGGGCACTGACGATCTATTGTACCTGTATATGCGTTATGCTGAAGAGGGTGTTATGCAGCCAGGTATTCAACTTCCTTGGTAGTTACATTGGTCGTTTTGGATGAAATGATAATCTGGTGGCATTTACTATCAGTTTTCACAATTTTTTTGTTTGCACTGTGTCACTGATTCCTTTGTGTCTGTGCTTTGTGTGGTTCACAGCATCCGGACATGGACTTTTCTCGTGCGAAGATAGTATGAACTGCAAGGAATGACGCTAGCACAAAACTGCGCAGGCGCCTGGCAAGCGAACGACTCAAGAGGCCTTGGTTAACATGCAGCAAAAGTCGAGGTGGAACTTTGCGAGTGAACGAGTGAGAAGATTTCTAGAGAGAGCAGCTCATTCTGGTTTTACGCTAAAAAGCGCCTGTTCTCATGGGAAGATAGTGTGAATTGCAAGGAATGACATGATCACAAAGCTGCAGAGGAGACGGGCAAGTGAATGACTGAAGAGGCTTTGGTAGACTGGAGTTCTACAGAGAGCAGCACACTGTGGTGGTACGGTTAAAAGCGCTCGTTCGTGCAATCGTGAAAACGGTAGAGAAGTCTTGAAGGACATCTGTGGCAGGCTACGAGCTCTACAGAGAGCAGCACATTGTGGTGGTAGGGTTAAAAGCGCTCGTTCGTGCAATCGTGAAACGGTAGAAGTCTTGAAGGACATCTGCCGCAGGCTATGTATGCGGTAGCTAGGATGGAGTTCTGGCTGAGTAGTGTTTTTGTATGCGTACAGAATTGTCGCTAGTGTCAGTGTCGGGTTTGAGATTTTAGATACGCTGTAGGCTGAAACTAGTCAAATTAGTGGTGCCACATGTACTGTGCTTGTTGGGGTTCGAAAGTGCCACCATTCTGGGGAAGAGGGGTACGCCTGTTGGTTCCTGGCGGAGAACGAGAAGCCACTGTGCTGCTGTGCATCATGCTCTATCGTGTGTGACCTGACGGAGGAGAGGAGGAGCCTCCATGGTGCTGTAGCACCTGGTGGGTTTCCTTATTTGTGGAGGGGTCTTGTTCATAATTGATTCTGAGTCTGACTGATTATTCTGTGCCCAGGCAGAGCGGGTTTCCTCGAGTCATTGCTGATGCCTGGTTTTCTTTCGGGGGTGAAGTTCCGCATTAAACCACCGGTACACGGCCCCAACCTTGCTGAAAATGCAACTCGTAGCCTAAAACATTTTCGGAGGCTTGGCCCACTGGACCACAATGGCTGAAGGTGCTGGCGAAGAAAGAAAGAAAGAGTGCGCCGCTGGCTGTTCAGAAAAGCTTGGCGCACGGTAAGGCGCGTCCAGGGCCGGGTGTGCTGGTGGTTTAAGGCTCTGAAATGGAGACGGACAGTACTTTCTGTACTGTGCTTTGCGAGACTGTGCGACGCCGTTTTGCTGTCTTGAGCAAGTAGCATTTCTGCTGCTGCTGCTTTGACAGCAGATAAGAGTGCAGAGAGGCGTCAGGCGTCTGCTGATATTTGCAAGCAAGGCGGTTGATTATGGATTGGGAGGGGATGCTGGCGGCCTGTTTGGAACAGGGGACGGTATGGTGTGTGGAGTATGTCACTGTTGTTAGCACCGTTTTCGTCAACACACTAGTCTTCTTCAGCATGCCTCATGAACGTAAGTGTTTGCTTCGGACTGGTCATTCTCTTTAGGTTTTAGATGTGTGCGGAGTGATGCTTAGAGGTGCAAGGAGGTAGATGTTCTTTTGTAGGACTGGTGTGTGTTATGCCGTCTACCCTCGGGAATCCATATTATGAGTCTGGGTGGCAAGTCCTTTATCTGATAAGACCGTAGCTAAGCTGGGGTGGGTGTGTTTTCTTGTGCATTTGTGACTGTGTGATGCGTGCGAGACCTCTGCCCCATTCGAAAACCCAGAAATTCAAATGGCTCACGGATTCCTCCATATGAGTGGGGAAAGTATTGATACCGACGTATGTGTATGTGCATAGACGACCCCCAACAAATTCTTTGGTTCCCGTAACGTGTGGGATATCATCGCCGATATGTATAAAGTAGTATGCAGCGGAGGGTGAAAAGAACAAAATAAGACGAGTATCAACTCTTGAGATGGGCAAGGGATGCAGGGAGGGTGTGTGGAGAGAGGGTCAAGGGGACTACTAACTAGTAAGATGAGTGCTGTCCTAATCACAAAGAAGAGAAACACCGGGAAGTTGCTTCGACTTGTTTCTTGCAAGCACGAATTGTGCATACGCTACCTGAGATCCCATTGTCCGTTCCGTTGTTCTCATAGCGAAATTGTTTCATGAGTGGGTTAGCGGCTAAATGCTCTCTTTACTTGACAATGGATCGAAAAGCAGGGGGCAAAGCCTGGCTCCACCTCACGAAAAGTAAAATATAGTTAAATGTAGTGGGTATTTCACTTGCGCCGTGAAGGTCCCACTTATTCCACACCTCTCACTTATTCTGCCCCTCTCAAGTCATTTCACAGATTTGAATTACAGTTGAGCTCAACAGGGTCCTTTCCCGGGTGATTCTTCCACGCCCGTTCCGTTGGAACATGCACTTCGTGAAAATAGACATTTCGTGAAAACTGGACTCGAGTCAAAGACTTTACGTTGAGTTTTTTAAAAACGGGTTTTAAGGCTGTCACATAGGACATGCGATGGCCGTTATCAGAAACGTTTGGGCATAAACCTATATTTTTTGTCAAGCAACGAGACTGATGGAATACGAAAAAGCAAACAACATGTTATTGCCAATACATCCAAGTTGCAGATTTAAGGAGAACTATTTTTTTGGAAGTCGTACAAATAAGCGGAGGCAACTACACGTCACTTGTGTCTGCTTCTTCCCCTTCCGCGGCTCGTCCTCTCCGCGGCTCCTCCGCTCCTCCCCCTCCGCTGCTCCTCCCCCCTCC